CTCCTAGAGAAACACCCCTGCAAACTGATAGGGATGCCGTGGAGCCAGTGGCCATTTGGGGGGTAACAGGCATCATTACAAACACATTTAATATCATCAGAGAGCACACGGACAGGTTTAAAGCCTCCAGCGCAGGCTTGACTCTTGAGAGCCTGCACCTTGTCCCCAGCTTCCCTTTCTAGGCAGGGAAAGCGGTGGAAGTGGGAACGTGTCTGTTCCGATGGGCAGCCCAGAGCAAGCTGGAGAATGCCTTTTTGTCAGGAGAAGAAAGGAAGTTCCTTATCTGAAAGCTTTTCCGTCAGCAATTTAAGTGCAGGGCAAAAGCCCGGCAGTAAATCCAGCATCCAGGGGCTGCACTGTCACAGAGTGAAAGGCAAAGAGGCAAGTTTTGATGGGGGTTCTCAAACAGGGGGGCAGGACCTTCCCCCATCACCTCTCCCGCACCCCAGAAAACCCCTTTCACAAGCTGCAACCCGCATCCGGGCTGGCTGAGCCACCACGGGGCCAGCAGGAACCCAGTGACCAGCTCCCCACCCGCCTCCAAGCGGGCAGTTTCCCACATGTACCATGGGATCTCCCATCCGTGGCCACACGAGGGGTTTTCCACCTGCAGAAGTTGCCTGCGCAGGGAGAAGGCGCAAGGTGGGAACGGGGGGTGCTCTGCTTTCTCATCACTCCCTGCACAGCCCCGCTCCCCAGCCACCGCTGCAGCGGATGCTGTGGTTTTCTTGTCTGAAATACATTGCACAGCAAGCCCAGCCTGGTGCTGAGGAGCATTAACTAAAGCAAAGCAGCTCTAATAGAGCTGGTCCTGAGCGCCCCGCTGGGAGACTTTCAATTGATGGACTTACGAGAGATGAAATATTCAGTAGGATTAGGAATTTGGAGGAGGTGGAAATCAAAGTGGAAAGGAAAACAAGTAAAAACAGTTTAATCTAGCCTCCTAGCACTAATTGTCGCTGGGATTCGGGCTAAAACAAACACAACAAAACGAGCTGCCAATTTGAAAGGGGAAGGAAGAGGGCGAAGACGATTCCCATCGCATCGAAAGCAACCTTTTATCTCCGCGCCGCCGCGGATGAGAGGCAGCAGGCGGGGAGGGACCACCCCAGCCCTCATCCCTCCTGCATGGGCAGCGATGCATTTAAAGATGCCACCATAGATGCAAGGCCAGGTTGGACGGGGCTTGGAGAAACCTGCTCTAGTGCAAGGGATCCCTGCGGCAGGGAATGGAACGGGATGAGCTTTAAGGTCCCTTCTAACCCAACCCATTTTGCCCCACACACCCAGACAGGACCCCTCAGGCAAACCTCAGGCTCTGCAGCCCCCTCGCAGCAGAGCCCTGCGCGTTGCCCTCGCTGTGCTGGGGCCACGAGAGGGGGATTATCTTACAGGCGAAGCTGAGTTATCCAACACTGCAATTTAAGTTGACAATTACATGGTAACCGACTTGCTCACAAAGAGAGGCTCTGGAAGTATTCCCAGAATACAGAAGTCTGACAGTATCCACCCAATTTGTTGCAACAACAAAGAATACTGGAATATGTCCTTTCATTTGGCAGAGGAGTGCTTTATTTTTCAAGGCTAGGTGGAGAAATTTAGCCTGCTATTTAAGGAGCATGTTGTGCCTTGAGAGTGACAAGCCAAGAGTCTCACTAGAAAGCCAAACTCAAACACAAATTGCATCCTGCCACCCAAGAAACTAAATGGCACCAGGGAAAGGAGTTAGCAGGGCCCCATCTGTTGGTAGGGCCGGTGTTCTGAGGCATAGGGAGATTTAAGTGGGGGCTTTTTGGAGCTGGATGAGGAGACACCAAGCCAGGCCTGATGCAGCAGTGGCTGCAGTGATGCAGAAGATGCTCAGTCAAGATGCTCATTGACTTGCTCACGCTTTCCTGGTAATTTAATATCGGGATCTTCTATTAAAAAGCAAAACACAAAACCCCAGCAAACCCCCATAATTCTAACGTGGGAGATTCTGACACTGGCACAGGGTGCCCAGAGAAGCTGTGGCTGCCCCATCCCTGGCAGTGCTCAAGGCCAGGTTGGACACAGGGGCTTGGAGCAAGCTGCTCCAGTGGAAGGGGTCCCTGCCTGTGGCAGGGGTTAGAGCTGGAGGAGCTTTAAGGTCCCTTCCAACCTGAACCAGTCCTGGATCCTGGGATTCTGCATCACCATCAGACTATAAAATAAAGCACTTCCAGAAAATCAGCCCTGAAAAGTAAGACCAGTGGCTTTTGCCCGATGCATCCCAGAGGGGAGAGGCTTCGGGCGCATGCAGGCTCCTTGGGATGAGGAGGATTCCCCAGCACCTGGCTTTGCTCTGATACAAGACAAACAAGGAGGAATAAAGACTTCATAACCCTCACATGGACACCCGAAGGAGCCTTCTCTGTGTTACCCAGCCCCAGGGCTCAGCTCTGGCCATTCCCACCTCCTGCTCCCCTCCAGGTCTGTGTTAAAAGGTTAATGGCACGGGTGTTTCTTGGGATGGCTTTTTCCTCTCATGGCCTGGCTTGTGGTGGGAATCAATGGGCTCCCCCGGGCACAGCCTCCAGCTACGGCCGCACTCCTGAACCACTCCACGCTGCCACCATTCCACAGACCACTTCCTTCCAGGTTACTGGCAGCCCTGGTGCTGCGAGGGCAGGAGCACGGCTGGTGCTGCGGAGCCGTGCACCCCAGTGCTGCGCTCTGCTGCCAGCAGGCAGCCCAGGCAAAAGGGGGTCTGCAGAATAAACCCCCCCCAAACCCAGCTCCAAACCAGAGCTGGTAACACCAGCCCAGCACCACCACGCTGCTTTCCCCTGCAGGAGCAAACCCTTGGCTCACACAGACAGGGTTTGGGGTGCAGGAGGTGTGGGTGAGCGCAAGGGGTGGCACAGCACCGGCACGGGAGCCGCAGCCACCCCAGCCACTTGCTCTCGAAATCAGTGTTTCACAAGAACTCGCTGTGGATGGGAACGTGCAGCAAAGCGCAGCACGTTTCTGTACCTGTCAGCTGCTGGCCTAGCAAACTGCCAGCCCTCTGCTGCTCTCCTCTCTTCCTCTTCCCCTTCCTCCTCACTGTGTAGAAACCCATCCATCAGAGGCGAAGCCCAAACCCCATGCACCCCATCATGGACACTTTGCAAAAGCCAGGGTTGGAAAATTTAAGGCAGAGAAAAGGAAAAGAGGAATAAGCTGAGGGATGCTCAGGGGAAACAGAGCACAGGGGCAGAAACCCTGTAGAACTGACACCAGGCTGAGGATGTGACCTTGCTGCTCCCTCCAACATGGACCACTGCTCCCCACCTGCATCCCAGGAGCAGGCAGCATCAAGAGCATCACTGCCTCCGCCCCCGGAGCCACGGCCAGCTGCCCAACCACAGAGATTTGTTTGCTTTAGAGGGGATCTCAGCTGGAAGGGGGGAAAAGACCCCCCCCCCCCGAAAAGAACAGCAGCAAAAGAAACCGCAGCCACATCCTGCCTAAACTGTCGCTCGTGGTGGGTTACTTGCCAGCAAGGATGCAGGGGAGCGGCGGTGAGAGCGGGAGCGCTCCTCCACTTGCCAAGTAACGCTTCAGCTATGAGTCAATTGACTGAAGCCACAAATCCATTTGCTTATGAGCACGAAACCACAGCAACCCATGCTGCTCCTCAGGACCAACCTGGCCTAGTGGAAGGTGTCCCTGCCTGCAGCAGGGGGGTGGAACTGAATGAGCTTTAAGGTCCCTTCCAACCCAAGCCAGGCTGGGATTCCTGGGTTATTTGCCCCACAGCATCCCTGCTTGCAGGCTGGTCCTCCCAGTCCATCCCTGCACAGCATCATGGAGCAATGTCTCTGGCACCAGCCCAGGGATCACACCTGCACCATGGCACTGGGCCAGCCCATACCCACACCCGTCCTCATGGGGCAGAGTTGTTCCCTTCACCCACCAGCACGGGGCTGGGTGGAGGCCGGCACTGGGTAACGCTGCTGGTATGCGGCGTGTTGAAAGCCCTGTGGGTTAATAAACACTCGACGTGGGTGGCTTGTGACTCACGAGCTCCATTGCAGGTGCTGCTGGCAAGGAGGAATCCAGCAATTAAACACTGGGAAAGGGAAAGAACACCCTGAGCAGTTAAAGGCTGCAACCATGGGGCAGCCAGGACCCTACAAGAGGTGCTGAGGGTGTGAGGAGGGAACTGGGGGGTCCTCCCTTGCTTCCTCCATGCGATGGCAAACAGCCCCATCATCACAGAGCCACCCTGGGCCACACCTTGTCACCCACCAGATGATGCCACAGGGTGTGAGCAGCTCCCGGGGCTGCGAAATGAAGCCCTGGGGTTATTCATGGCAGGACACAACCGTTTCATCACCACATCCAAGCCACGCCGGCTGCAATCAGCCCTCCAAACGGGTGGGTTTGGTGGCTTTGCCCCAAGCCTTCGCTCCCAGAGGGCCTTCCTCTGCCCCAGAGAGGTTCTATGTGGCTTTGGGCATCACAACCACCCCAGATCCAAGCACCAGCTCACAAGGCATCTCTAATGAACACAAAGTAGCTGGGGGGAAGGCTCAGGGACCACACGTGCACCACGCACCCTCCCTCCAGGCTGCACAGGAAGGAAAAATAGCCCTCAGTAATGTACCCCTGGGCATGCACCCATGCCCTGCTGTCATCCAGGATGCCACAGCCTCCCCAGAAGCAGCACTGGGGTCACAGGATGGAGCATCTCCCCCCTGCGAGCCAGGGTCACACTCTGCAGTGCAATTAAGAGGAGAAAAATAACTACACAGTAGAAAAAACCTGAGAGAGAAGCAGCAAAGCGTGTTTGTGAGAGGGGAGATGGTGCCTGTGGAGCAAAACTGTGCTCTCAGGAGCTTTAGCAGGGTTTGGATGTTTTCCTGTGGCAGGACACCACCAGAAGAGCTGCGCTGCCAGGCAAAGCCATGTCCCTGCCACCAGGGATGCTGCATCTCCCCACATCCTGCTGTAAAACCAGAGCTGCTGAGCACCCTCACCCCCTGCCCCATTACCTGGGACAAATCAAGGCTCAGCAATCCCAGGTTCCTGGTGGGGAGAGAGGAGTTAGAGCATCACAGCAGGAAGAAATGGCTGAAGAGGTCCCAGTCCGTGATGGTGCTACAGTCAGAAGCCGCAGGTCTGAAGCTGTTTTATCCAGTCAGGGCTGGTCCCTGCCCACTCGAGTGAAAGCCGAGGACTTGGCTCAGCTGTGTTAATTCCCCATCAGGGCCGTTTCCCTAACGAGTGCTGGTGAGTGCCAGAGGTGCTCACAAGGCTCAGCTGGAGCCAGTGCAGAGCTCCCTGAGCCCAGCATCAGCCAGAGCTGGGCTGTGAGCAGCACTGCCCGGGCTCCTCAGCCTGAGATGCACTATCAGCAAGGACCGAGGTGCAAATGAGATGCAAGGAGCACCCAGGCAGCAGGGGCCAGGGAGCTCACCAAGCACCTACACCATAAATCAAAGTTAGTGGTCCCAGGAGTCATCTCCTGCCCTGCTGCAAATCATGTGTGCAATGCAGGAGCCTACCCCACAGTCCAGAACAGAAACACAGAACCCCAGCCTGGTTTGGGTTGGAAGGGACCTCAAAGCTCCTCCAGCTCCAACCCCTGCCATGGGCAGAGACCCCTTCCACTGGAGCAGCTTGCTCCAACCCTTGTGTCCAACCTGGCCTTGAGCACTGCCAGCGATAGCAGATGTCTCTGTGCGGACCAGCAGCATCCAAGCCCATTCCAAACACCACCTCTCCCCCGGGGCAGCAATACTCACCTGCCTCCTGGTTTGTTTCCTTAAGGCAGCAGTGCACGGAGGTTCCGGGAAGAGCCACGTGCACGTTACCCCTGCCCAGGAGCCTGCTCTTGGCTGCAGGGAATAAATAACCTGTGCCCCGGGTTGGCTCAGCAGGAGCAGCACCCACTTCAAAACAGAGGCTGTGCTGGCACCCAGCAGCCTCCCCCCCCCTTTCTCTGTGTTAAACTTTTTGGCTCCTTTATTAAAGCAACTGAACAGTTTAGACCCCTTTTTTCCCCTCTCCCCTGTGTGGCGCTCGGTGTAATCTGCTCGAATATTTGATGTGGAATCCCTTGCGAGAGCGAGAAGTGTTTTTATGGGCGCTGGAGGAAAACTCTCGCAAAGCCGAGTGGTAATGAGTACCCCTGAGTACCCTCTCGCTTCCACAGCCGCCGCTGCTTCAAAATGAGCAGGAATTGGGCAAGTGGCGCTCGCTGGGGAGCGGAGCAGCCTCTTGCTCGCAGCAACGCTCTGCCTTCAGTAGCTCTGCACAGGCGAGCGGCGCTTGTTTATTCCAATTGAAGCTGACACCAGCAGCGGTCCAGCCCCAGCAGATGAGCTCATGTGTGTCCTGTTTTATTTCCAACGCAGATTAACAGCATCTCTTTAATCTCTAATGGCCCGGCCTGGGAGTTGCAGGCAGTGTTCAAACAACATGAGGGGCTGTGTCTCTGCACACCCCTCCGCTCCCATTCCAACTCTGTGACCGGCATGGTGATGGTGCACGGTGCAAGAGCCCTCATCCCAGTTACATGGGATGAACTCGCAGGAAGCTTTCCATCACAGACACAAACACGGGTGGTTTTCACCTCCAGGCCTCTGAATTTAACACAGCAGACACGATCCCTCTCCTTTACAAAGGCAAAATATTCCCTTTCATTTCCAGCCCCCTTGTACATCACCACCAGAGTGAACTCAGCACAGCGACACTGCGGCTCGGTGTCACAATAAGGAGCTTTGCCAAGTCCTGGAGGTGTCGTGGCTCACCTCGGATGGGGTTTGTCCCCAAAGCACACACCTCGGATCCTTCGAGGGCAGCGGGGTCCCGTTGCCCCGGGGAAACCCAGTGGAAACGTGGGAGGAGCGGATGCTTTCCAAGGGCTCATTCGCAGGGACAGCAGCAGAGCAGCCACAGTGTGAAGAGAAGCAAACCCCAGGGACAAACGAGGCCTCGCTGTGGTCTTGCCAAAGGCTTCTCCCTGCAGGAAGAGCCGGAGCCCAGGGCTGAGGCCCCGCGGGCGGTGCTGCTCGCTCTGCTGGCGCAGCCGGCGCCGAGGACGCGGGTCCGTTCGCAGGCAGAGGGTCCCAGTATTGCCGGGAGCTTTAACGAGGCGATGGGTGCGGGCTGGGCAGGGCCCGGGGCTCCCGCTGCTGCCCGGGCTCTGTGCGCCAGGACCCCAGGAAACGTCCCCTTCCCGTGCCGGGGGGGCCGTACCCAGCCCCTCATCCATGCGAGACCCAGCCCCAGCCCGGCGCTGGGATTTATCTGCCTGCTCCTGGGCGAGGCACGGCGGCTGCTGCACAAAGGCTGCTGCAGGCAGTGCCTGGTGGCAGGAAGCACTGAGCCATGGGCTCATCACGGTGCCTGCAGCTTCCCAGCGCCTGCTGAGGGTTCATAGGGTCCCCAATGGGTTTGGGTTGAAGGGACCTCAAAGCTCCTCCAGCTCCAACCCCTGCCACGGGCAGGGACCCCTTCCACTGGAGCAGCTTGCTCCAAGCCCCTGTGTCCAACCTGGCCTTGAACACTGCCAGGGATGGGGCAGCCACAGCTTCTCTGGGCACCCTGTGCCAGCGCCTCAGCACCCTCACAGGGAAGAGCTTCTGCCTAAGAGCTCATCTCAGTCTCCCCTCTGCAGGTTAAAGCCGTTCCCCTTGGCCTGTCCCTACAGAGAGCTTTGTTTTCCCCTGAGCCTGCTCCTGTCCCACACTGCTGTGCTGCAGCAGGATCAGAGAACATTATTAAAACAGTGCCATGTTACCCATCAATAATAAATGACCAGAATAAATTCACTGCTCTCTGCTTAACAACCCTCCCCGATTTCCATTTAAATATCTGCAAAGAAACGGGTCCTCGCTCAACGAGCCTTGCAGCTGAGTGCAAGTGCTGTGTTCCAGAGAGCCAGCCCAGGAGAACCGAGCCCAGCTTTTAATGGGAAAAGAGCTTTTCTCCTGCCGCAGGACTGAGCTGCAGCAGAGGGAGGAGGAGAAGCTTAGGATGGATAAAATAAATTCAATGATACACAAATATCAGTGGTGTGCTTCTGTTTAGGTGCATCCTGAGCTTCCCCACCCTCTGCTCCCCATGGAGTATTTGCCTACCCTGGTCCCCTTGGCCAGCATCAGTGTTTCATTCCCAGGGAAACAGCCTTGGGCTATGGCCAGCAGCGACGCAGCAGAACAGCAAAGCTGGTCCTGAGATGCTCCCAGCTCACAAAAGGCTGGAGCAGACCCCAGTTTCCCCAGGCCAAAAGATGAAATTAAGCTACCAAACGCCACTGATGCTGGGAGAGCATGGTCCATCCTGCTGCACACCAGCACACAGCAACCTCGCTGGGTCCCAGACCCCCCTGTCCTTCTGTTCTGCTCCTTCCAGGGCATGTTTTAGCTCAAATGGCTCTTGGGACTTGCATCGGAGACACAGCCCCTGGAGTCCTCATGCAGGGCTTCACCTAGGTCCTTCCAGGAGGGAAGGCACGTGCACAGGTCAGCCCTGACTCCCTTATCTCAGCATTCACATAAATGCAAAATCAAAAGGAAGAACAAAAGGCAGAGGGGGTCTGGGGCTACGAGGAGCTCACCCAAGGAACCAGGGAACAGTGCTGCTGCTTTGAACAGCATCACCCACACAGCTAATCCAGTGCATACCTAAGCTGGGCCAGGGATGCAGCACATGAGCGTGCCAGGAGGATCCTTACCCCTGCCCAACCCAAACCCTGCAGGAAACAGAGCACATCAGGCTGGGATTAACCCCAGACAACAAAAGGGGTTGGTTATTTACAGCTCTTGCTTCTATCTGATAAAACCCCACATTTGGGAGCTACTTTCTCTCCTTGCTGCAAGCCTGAGCAGTACAAGAGTATTGCACTTTCCTCTAGGAGCCTCGTGGAGGACTCCCGGGTGCTCTTCCTGGCATCCCATCGCCTGCTCGCCTCTTGCTTTCCTCATCCCTCTGCTTTCCAATTGCTTTGCTCTCTTCCTCCCCCCCATGCAGGAGGGAACCCACGCAGGGAGCACAGAGCATCAATGCTAACTAGCATCACTGCTGCAGAGCGTGGCCACCGCACTGCTCCCCAGCGGCAGGGCGAGCCCAGCTCACCCCATCCGCCTTGCAGCGGGGCACGAGCAGTCACCACGAGCAGCACCAGGGACATCACAGCTGCAAGACGAGCGAGCCAGCGGGTCAGAGAGCTGAGCCCCCCGTATCCCAGCCACGGCAGAGCCCGCAGCCCATGGTGCAGAGCAGCACGGCAGCGGGGCTGCGGCGTGTGCTCTGTTTTGCCTCTCAAGCCTGCCAAAGCAGACCCATCCCTCCCAGCGCGCTCAGATGTGGTGGCGTTGTCGCCAGACCTTCCCAAACACGAAGTTTCAACCTAAAGCAGACGCTGCCCACAGAAAGTTTCACCCCGAGCTCGCCGCAGTCATGAGCAAATAAAACTGGAGTGAATAATGGGAAATAGTCATCATTCTTGTGCATACGCCTCTGGAGTAAAGCCACCCTCGTAGAAGACATCCTCCAGTAAAGCCCAGTCTGGGCTGGGTGCTCTCTGCTCTTTGGACCAAAGCACATGGAGGACCGGGTTTATTTCCCCTTCATGTGGGCACAGTCTCATGGCAGGGTTCAAATCTCCTTTCCTTAGAGCCATAAAAATTGAGGAGCTGCTTTGTTGCAGCCTCTGCTTTCAAGAGGTCCCCAAGCCAGCCTCCTCCAGGAGCTTCCCAGCACAGCCTACCAGCATTTAAAACCCCATCACTTCACTGGCACAGAAGATCCTGTTCTATTTTTCAGTGTTTAAAGTGTTTAAGGCACTCTAAAGCAGCGGCAGGAGGGTGCTGGGAGCCCTCACCATCACACACGCACAAGGGGAAGAGGTTTGCAGCATCCCACGCCTGCTCCCATTGCCCCTCCACAAGACGAGATGATAGCGTGGAAATACCAACAGGCAGCGAGCATCCCTGGCAGGTCCAATTTGCCAGCTCCCCATCATCACCTCCGCAGCGAGCGCAGCTTTAATTTGATGTGGTCCTCAACACCTCAGAGCTCTTTGTTCTTCAGACCTAGAAACTAATTAAACCTGACCGAGGCAGGGTTTCAGCCTTCCTTTGTTATTGGAAATCGGG